GAATGGTGTGCCACAGCGGCCAGCACAAGGCTGGCGGGGACGTTAATTACGGCATGTTTTTGACTTCCCCGGGACATCCGCTTTTTTATTCTTTCAGAGAGGCACTTGTTCCCTGGTAGCTAACTCCTGGGAGGCACCTGTTGCTTTGAACTACTGGCTGTGGCCTCCTGTTGCAAACTGCCCCCACGGAGGCTTGCGAACCAACAAGGGCATTCGACCCTACGACTCAAACCTAGTACAGTCGACTCCTCGTACAGCCGAGCCCATCCTTTCAGAATGATGGATGGGGCAGCGCTTGCGTACGGGACGGGGGGCCTGCCCCCGCCTCAAGCCTTAAGCAAAGCAAAGCAAAGAGTTGGTTTTTGGTGATGCCGGGCTTGATGGCATACTTCAGTGCACCCAGCTGTTCCACAACATGGCTTTTCCGTTTCCTCCAGAAAGAGAAATCCAAGAGTCGCATCGACGACAGGTATCAGAGGCGCTTTTCAGCGCCGATGACGGCGACCCGAGCAAAGCCAGAAGTAGCAGGACAGGGTCCGGGTCTAGAGAGAAGGCTGGAGGCTTCAATGTCTTTCAATAGGCTTGTCATTGGTGCTTTCGGGCAGTGTTCGGTCACGTCAGGTATGCGGATCACTGCCCTCTGAAGAGTGACGGGGCAAGAGCGACTGCCACACTGCTCGAAGCCCTTTGCCGCAGGACGGCGCGCGTCGGGGCCAAGGTTGGCCGGGTCGTCCGTGTTCTGCGATTGATTCGCATTGCCCGAGCCTCGGGCGTCTCCGTCTCTGGTGTGGTGTAGTTTCGGACCCCTGGGGTTTGGGCGAGGTTGTGAGAGTTTCCAGGCACACGGAGACTCCACGGTTGGCCGCATGTCTTCAGAGAGAGCGTTCGCACGACCCTGTCGCGTCGAGGTCAAGCTTTTCAAGGCTTTCCTCCAGACGAAAGCCAAGCCGTTGCCTTACAGAAGACTGGCCCTGGCAATGCTTGTTCCCGCTATGATGCCTTCCGTGGCGTGGTATTCAGAGCTGGCCCTTCTTTCCCATACTCAGCCCAATCTCCAGAATCCTCACCAACACGGCCTTGGACGCCCTGACTGAGCTCCAAACTGTACATTAGCAGGGACTGGTTTCTACTCTCCGAGCCCTTGGGCCCGATTGACGTGAGGAGGGGTTTGGACCTTTTTCCAAACCATGCCTCGTGAAGCTGCCTTGGAAAACATCCTGATACCCTGCAGGATACCTTCAAACTCACCTCAAGACCTCGCCGCGCGATTGGCTAAACCGAACCTCTCACATAGCACTGCTTGCAACCTGCCATCCGGAATCTGGCAGGCTACAGTGCGGTTAAACGCTTCCCGCTGTGCGAAGTGCAGAAAGATTGAACAAAGTACAGGCCGTTACAGGAGTTTTGTTCCGTCGGAAAGCTACAGCATGGGCAGAATCTGCGGATCTGTGCCCTCCTTGAATGCCATTGAACGTGCATGCCCCGAACCTCACCGGTTGAAGCGCCGAGCGAAAATCTGCTGAAGCCCCCTCAACCCCCGCTTTCACTTCCCAGGCCGAAGCCGCGGACGAGTAGATTTAACCTCGGCCTCGAGGACGACTTCGAGGAAGAGGTCGTGGAGGAGGACCCCCTGCTTACAAGAACTCCTCAAGTCGGGGAGCTTCGGGTCGACAAGCGCGTTCGTTCGAATCTGCAACCGAACTGTGCAGGAGACCTCCTTCGACAAGGAGAGCTTGGTAGGAAAGAAGCTTTCCGTTCCCCAGCGAGCATTATGTGCAGATGTCGCCGGCCATGTCGGACTTACATTCCACGCTCCGTAGCCAAGGCCAAGATGACCCAGTGGACCATTCTGCTGGTGCCGCCTGTTGCCCTCTTCGGGGGGGGGTCCGACGGAGCTTGTAGGGATTTGCCTCGTCGTTCTAGCAGCAACTCGTTACTCTGAGCAGCACCAAGCAGTCCGTTCCTGCCTTCATGGTCCGTGTGATACCCCTTTCGGCTCAGCTGGGTTTGATCGGGGCTTCACGGCCCTAATATGTTAGGCCAAAAAGAGCCTGACATTCAGGCGGGTTGTCACTTTGCCAGGGACGCGGTTGACGGGTTTTGGTGTTATTTCTGAGGCAGAAATCGAGCAGTACTCGCTCTGCGCACGAGTCGCATCTCGGCTGCACGACGAAAGGTTCGAGCTTATCGTGTGCCAGTGCAAAGCAAGCCGTTTCTGGAGTCTTTAGCCGTCTGTAGGCCCCATAGGCTCATAGGATGCGTGCGTAGGCCCTAAACCAGCAAAGCATTGAAAGCCGGCCTCACTCAAAGCAAGCAGCCGCGAAGAGAGGCGGGGTGATGCTGCTGGATGCACTGGCAAGCGCGCTGTGGTCACAACCAAACCTGGAGCGGTGTGGAGCCCAGGGTGCAGTGGATCTTGCCTGAAAGAGAGGGGGCTGAGGCCTGCCCATTCCACTAGAACCCTTCTCTGACCTTCTTCCATTCAAGCCCTCTTAAAAGCATGTACGTGAGTGTTAGATGTCTTGAGACCTGGATTCTTGTTTTAACCAGTTTTGAGTTGGATCCACTGCCCCTTCCGGTGTTGCCCCAAGGCCAAGCTGTTGCGCTCCGCGCGATGCCAACTATCGAGGTCGTTGCTCCTGGATCTTGTGTGGTGTATAAAACAAGTCATCGCAAACTTGCTGCTTCTGCCGCCTCACTTCCGAAAGCCAGAGAACAAGACAAGCCCGAAGCCCCTGGCCTTGAGGACCCGAGATGCTCCTCGCACGCAGCGCGCGGGCAGGGGAGCCGCTTGGTGCCTCAGAGGCCGCAGGGGCCGCAGGGGAGAAAGCTGCGGAAGATGCTGATGCCGCTGTTGCGATTCCGCATGCTTTGGAGAGATTGTAGAGCTGTCGGCTTCGGTGTGTGCGTCACTAGGCCCCACACCCCACACCAGACCTGATCTTGTCCCCCAAGCTACTGACTTGGAGCATGTGGAAGTCTCCAACCCGTTTCAGGCCACTTGCCCAGGAGGAGCACCTTGTCACGACGTGCGGGCATGCACGGAGCTCCAGTTCGGGTCTGGCACTCGGTATAGAGAGCAGGGACTTTTGTGACATCATCACGTCTTCGAAGTCGATCTTTGATGCACTTTTGTTCCCACCCACCCTCCCCTGATACCTTGACGGGTTGATTTGGAGGTGGGTCCTTGCCGGACTTTGATCTTATCTCTTCTTCCAGTTTTTCGAGGAGATTACAGGGTCTCTTGCAGCCCCTCGGGGTGTGTGGGACTGTGTTTCCGTCACTGTCTCGGATGGAAGGATTATGTCCTCATATCCTTCATTCGCTACCCGTCGTCATTGACGTTTGGTGTTTCCCTGAAGCCACGTATGCTTTCTCATCACCACCATCACCATCGCCCGCTATCACTCTCACTCTCAGTGTCCCTATCACTATCCCTATCACCATTACAGGGAGTTGCTCCAATCAGATCTGGGTTTGAATCGGCTCTCTGAATGAGATCGCTGTACACGGACAGAGGGCCGAAGCAGATCAAGGGGGTTGCCAACAGGAGCTCCGCGTTCGTTTCAGGCTCCGTCGCCCTTGCATGATGGGCTAATTCTCCTGCGTCCTCCCGCCTCCGCCCCCTCATTTGGCGATTTCGGCGCATCATGCACCTTAAACATGCCCCCTCATGCCATGTGGCGATTCCGGGTCATCATATTAACACGCCCCCTCACTTAGCGTTTCCGGTTCATCATACATTCCCCTCATTTGGCGATTCCGGTACACCAGATATCGTAAACACGCTTCTCATTTGGCGGTTCCAGTTCATCATATGAAGGAATATTTATACTTATATACCAGATCTATCATATTTCATTTCTCTGTGCCCCGCTCCCTCATTTCGCGATTCCGGTTCATCAGATATCTTGAAGAGACCTTTCTTTTGATGATTTCGGCTCATAGTGCATCTTCAACACGCCCCCTTATGTGGCGATTCCGGGTCATCATAGGTCTGAAACACGCCCCTCCTCTGGCGATTTCGGTTCATCATATATCTGAAGCACGCCCCCTCATGTGGCGATTCCGGTTCATCATCTGTCTCAAACACGCCCCCTCTATTGGCGATTCGAGATCATAGTTAAACACGCCCCCTTGTTTGGCGATTCTGGTTCATCATAAGCCTTGAACACTCCGCCCCAATTGGTGTTTCCAGTTCATCCTGAACTTATATCTTATCACGTTCGCAGCAACGGGTCAAATTCCGGTCTCTTGTGAATGTTCAAGGTTTTGCTTCTAGGACCCCGACCCCCTACACCCAAATCCAAGACACCTTAACCTTAAGCTCTAAACCCTCATACAAACACCTCAAACGGGCTGCGCTACACTCTAAGACTTCAAATTATTAGGTCTTGTGGACCCTAAACCCTAAAAACGGAGCTGAGCCGCTTGGTCTTGCCTGTGAGCCGAGTCGGCACGACTCCCACACCCCCAGATCTGATACGGGAGATCTCCTTTGCATCTTCGCAGATCCCGTTCGCCTATTCGTGTTGCTGCCCATTATTAGTATCACTATCACTATCAGTAAAACTATCACGATCACTACGATCACTGATAGTATGACTATCACTATCACAATCATCATCATCGTCGCCGTCGTCGTCGTCATCATCATAAGCATCATCGCCATCGTCATCCTCATCCTCATCCCCACCGTCATTGTTATCGTCATCGTCGTCGTCACCACCATCATTCTCGGCATCATCGTCATCACCATCCCCATGACCATCAGGATCATATCATCATTATCTTCATGAACATCACCACCATCCGTTCATACCCCCATCATCATCATCACCACCACCATCATCATCATCGTCATCATCATCATCATCATCATCATCACCATCATCATCATCATCATCACCACCAATCATCACGATTGGATCATCATCGTCATCGTCGCCACCATTGCCAC